CGTGAGAAAATGACATTTAACTGTGTAAGCCAAAACAGTTAAATAAAAGTTATTCGCGTTGAAATAATTGTAACAATCAGATATTCGTTTATTCAATGTACTAACATGAAAATCAAACATATACAGTCAAAAGCATTAATGTTTGGCGTTTACTTCTTGGATATGCATTGAACATTTCGCAATATTAAATGTGATTATCTGAGATTTGAGCATATTTGATTAAACGATGGGCTTTCTTAAGAATTTTATAGTGTCTTAAAATTGTGGAATGCAAAATAATGTCTGCAGCCTATACCCTTGTGCCTTTGATGTTGTCCAAGCGAAAATTACTGCATTTTTTCGGTCTTGTTTAACATATCCCAATGACCAAAAGCTTTATGATGAAAACCTGTAGAACTCGATTGAGATAAGTTAGAGCATATGGGAGAGGCAGAATTCTGAAGACACGAGAAAGAACACTGGTCATTGAAAAACGGGCTATAATTTGAAGCAATCTATTAATGTATTAGTCGTGCAAGTGATGCTTGCTGGCCGAAGCAATGTATGACAGGACATGTATACAGTTTATTAACTATTGTTTTATATTATACTGGTGATGGTATATGATTCGCGACTTTGCAGATGACGCGTTCTGTGCGTGGCACAGAGGAATACAACGATGATGATGAGGACGAGTTCAGAAGGGCGAAAACTCCGTATGAGCTACAGCGAATGCGCTTGAATAAGCTAATTGCTAACATCGTAAGTCTGCAGTTTTTATGGTCTTGCTGTAGGTAGATGTGACGATTTCACCCGAAGTAGCATCTGTGTTCTGCTTTCCTAAATGTATATGTTAATGAAAGGCAGAGTGTAAAACTTCAACCAGCGCTTCTTGGGACTGACTTGAAATGAAAGCGATCAGTAGGAATTAATTTAGTATACTCTTTTCGATTCTTTTTTGTTCCTTTCCTATCTGAAAAACAAAACAGTTCATTAATTCATAGCGCAAAAGAAATATATAGTGAATCGCATGACTGACCAGTTCCGAGGTTGCGGCCCGTGTCTCAGGAACCTCCTTCAAGTTTGGAGATCGGTGCAGTTTCTGTGGATTTCCTAGTTATCCAAAGCGGTTGGCAGGCTGTAGCCAGAAGACCATCACTACCAACGCACGAACTAATTACTTTACCTCTTTGCCTTTTTGTCATTCATCTGGTTTCCATTTTTCGGGTTTGGTTCTCTGCGATTTCGAAATCCTGAACAACCTTTCATCTTGAGTAAATTTGTTTTAAAGAGGTAATGAGGCCTGTAAATAAACCTCTGGTTATCATAATCTGCGCTGCTCTTCATTTCAGGGTTTCTCATAGGACTTCAAACCTAAGGCAAGCACTGTCCGCCTTAATATGCCCTGCCAAAGCTGATTCCTTACAGCGATCTTGATTTTCCGTTGCTGCGACACAAACACGATATAAAATGGATGTCAAAAACTTCATATTCTTTAAATAGCCTGCTTGACCATAAGTTGAGTTTAATAGTTACATGTTAACTTCGTTTGCTTTCTTAAGTTATTCTTAAGATTGCGTTTTCTGTTCGAACATTTTACTGCCGCAAATGAAGTTATTCCTGGATAAGCCTTAACTTTTGGTTACTTCGAAAATTTAAGTGATTGAAATGCCTGATTTTAATTTTCTGTTCATCCTTAGGACAAACCTGCACCGATACCTGCTCCTAGAACGGAATGGAAGCCACCACCGCCGCCAGAGTTTGTGCGGAACGTTGTTGGTGGGTGCTGATGTTGTTCGATGATTGCAGAAATGCCATTTGTGGTGTTTTAAATTGATGACTGCTTTCTATTAGCTGCAGCTTATTGTTCCACCTTTATTCATGGGAGATGGCGGATATATCGATTTATCTATCAGGTTCTGACGAGTGGCATTTAAAAGATCCGATAACTTCGTCTAAGTGGGCCAGCAGATATTTCTGATAACCTGATTTACCATCTCAACGTCGATAACAATGAATTAAATTATACCATCTTCAGTGGTCGTCTACTCTTTTAAGGGTAAATGGCTTGTGAATTATCCTGCGCCATGCCTTTAGATTTTGTGCAAGAATTTGTACTTGGAGCGAATGGTATTTAATTTTGTCCTGTAGAACGTCGTTTACTCTGCGTAATGTTACTTTTCTTGTTAGTTTGGACCTCGCTATAAAGGCTTTTCGTAATTATTTTATTCTTATGTTGTTCAAAAGGGATTGTCGAGTACCAGGGAACTAGTCAGGGTTTTTCAGTCCATTCCAGGGATCTGTAACAGTCCTATGTAGCATTAATTGTGAAGTGGCTTTGAAAGATACATAGCTAAAATATATCACTTATTTGCCAGCAAAAGATCGATTTTGCTTCACCTCAGTTCTAACTGCGGAGATGCGCAGATAAGGCTGTCGTTACAGTTGTAGTTCATTATCATCGTCGTAGCACCATTGGAAAATACTCTGTTACTGTCTATCCTTTCCAGCTTGACTCGTAACAGACTGCGGAAGTTAATCCCAACTTTGTAGTGATTGCGGTTCTAATCCTACCATCAGTATAAGAAAGAAGAGTAATTTTGCTTCATCCAGATCATTCCATGTCTTCTAAGTTGCTTAGAGCATTTTACCACAAAGAGTTTACTGTACTGATGTGAAATGGTCGACTAATTATGATAGTTGTGCCGATTCCGTGGTTCACGGCGTCTTAGTAGTGCTTGTGGTATAGAAGAAGATATGTCTCATTGTTTTCTTGTTACTGATATATTGTTTCTTAAGGCAAATACATTGTGCTGTTGATTCATGCTTTAGGTTCCAGTGCCGGAGCTGGGAGCGGGGAGTATCACATCTATCGAAATATCCGAAAGAAAGAAAATCAGAGAATCCAGTTCATCGAACAACAGGCTTTAAAGGTGGTGGCTTTGCAGTTTCCTCTTTTGTATTTGATGATAGTTTAATTTAGGAAAAATTAGACAGAGAGTTCCAGGAAAAACTTGAGAAGCGAAAACGAGAGGCGGAAGAGAAAACAGCACGAAACAGAGCCAAAAGGTAAAATGTCGCAATGCTCCTTCGAATGCTTGAGAATTACTTAGGTTGAAGAAGAAGAAAAAAATGAAAGAAAGGAAAAAACGAGAGTCGAAAGGTTTTATAGTACAATTGTTAGACATAAATCATATAGATATATGTTCAGGTGTAAAGGAAGAGCCAGAGAGTGACAGCGAAAGTAACAGTTCAGAGAATGATGAACACAAGGAACAGAATACTGAAGATGCTGCCGGAGTTGAAGACATTGTGGAGGACTTTAGAGAAAGTGAATGCAAAGTAGAAGCTGAACAACAGTACGAAGTACTTCAGGATAAGGATTCAGCTAAAGAAGTTGCTGACAAAAAGAATCACGTGACAAAAGAGTGATTAATCTACATATTGTTTATTTGTTGTAAAATAATTTGTTTTGGAACAAGATATTTTTGTTGTAGTTTTACTTTTATGAGGTAGTCGCTTGAAGGCTGATCGAAATTCTTAATTGCAAGTTTGATCACGTCACTTTTGATTGTTAACAGCTGCGCAGCACGGGTATGGATATGGTTTTTCTGAAGTGTGTTTTCGGCCCCGCTTTGTACCGAATCTTCATGTCCGCCAAGGAGGGCTTTCGGCCGTACGAACCGAACGCATTGGAATACTGGACGAATTGCGCGCTGGACCTTTCGCACTACGCCGTGACACTGTCAAAGTACTTCAGTCCGATGATAGGCCTTTGGGTGTACAACCGAGGTGCAGTGAGTATGTGCGAAATGTTGATGCACTATGCACCTCCTCTCACCGTCATGTATGTGCTACTGTGGGCCGGTCGCGGCGTCGGCCGCCTGAACAACGAACAATACTTG